CTCATGGGGTCCCTTAGAGGTTAGGGGGTACGTGGGGGAAGGCAAGGGGGAAGGCAAGGGCATGGGTGTGCTCCCTAGAGGGAGAGGGAGCTGCCATTTATCTTTTAATATCAGATTCAAATCCCACTTTCCTATATTACTGCAATTATTTGTGGCATGCTCAGCTCACACCTGTCCTTTTCTGGTATCTCCCTCTCCCCCGGGCCCTCCTCATCCTCACAGCGAGTTAGAGCAGCCAGGCTGGTGCAGGGGGACCACACACCCTCTGGCCACAGTTGAACAAGATATTCCCATCCTTTCAAAACCTGTGTGTGTGTGTGTGTGTGTGTGTGTGTGTGTGTAGCAGAGTAGCTTAAAAACCTCGAGTTACAGAAAGCAACCATTTTATATCATGTGGTTCAGGAGGCAAAGAGTCAGCCTAGAGTGAGAGATGTGTTGACTCAGAGGCCCAGAAGCACGATGAGAGATGGCAAGGGAAGATGTTTTTACATCTCCAGCCCCAGCGCTGGGAACCTGGAGCCTGGAATTCTGACACTCCGATATCCTTATAAGCAGCATCCTTCCCCCACCCTCACTCCTGCCCCTTGTGAGCTCAAATGAACTTGTTAGATGTCATTTAACCAGTTCAGGACAGAACTGGTTTCTTTTTACATACATGCTAGCACGGACTTTGTTTGGAAGTCCTTTGCATTCTGGGCCAGCTTCTCTGCCTTCAGTTCTTCCTCCCACTTTGTGCGGACCCTGAGCACGCCTTTCCCATTTCCACCTGCCATTTCTGCACCCACACCTCTTCCAGTGCACACTCTTATAAGACACCATTAACTTGGGCTTTGATTATAACTTAAGTAACCCTTAGGTCCCATAGCGCTACGTCCTCAGTTTGCAAGAAGACTTCCCTTATCTTTGTGTCCTTAAATTGCTTTTGTGGGTGGCTCTTTTCCCTGTCAGATTAGGGGGCCCTTGAAAACTGAGACTCTCACCCCCAGCAGTTTGAGTTTCCTGAGGGGAGAGAGGATGTCTTCTTTAATCTTGTAGATCCCTCAAAGTAACAACTTGTCTTCTATTTTTGTAATCCTGGTCCTATACTAGTTCTGCACACTATGGGTGTTGATTGACTCAGTAAACAATAGACTTAGTCCCCTGGAGTGTCATATTCTTTCTTTCCACAGCGAGAAAGTAATAACATTAGGCAGAGCAGGCTGGATTCCTTAATATGATTACCTGGGATTTATGGGCTGGTGGCTCTTTCCCCCAACTTTATTGGGTACATTCATCTCCACAGAATAGATATTCCCAGAGACCACTAATGCTGCGGGCCACTAATTGCCCTGATCCTGTTAATCACAACCGAAGCTGCTTTCTCCAGCCCGAGACGGGGGAGCACCCAACACTGTTGTGGCAGTGGGCGTACCGAGGTAAGGGTGATCTAACCAAGTTCAAGTGCTGAACGTGCTCTGTGTGGTCTCTGTATTTAAGACATCCTACCACGAGCCAATGGATGACCTCAGCAAGTTGTTTTTTAAAACCTTTTTAATAATATAACAACTTGAGACATAATTCACATAGCATAATCCTCCCCTTTGCAGTGTAAATTCAGTGGTTTTTAGGACACTCACATCTCCACAGTACATTTTAGAACATTTTCTTTACCTCCCAAGGAAAGTCCATACTCATTAGCAGTCACTGTCCGTTCTGCCCAAGCCCCAGCTCTAGGAAAACACATATCTTTTTTGTTTCTATAGAATATTTGCCTATTCTGGGCATTTCATATAAATGGAATCATGCAATATGTGTTTTTTGTGACTTCTTTCACTTAGCATGTTTTCAAGGCTCATCCATGTTGTGACATATATCCATACTTCATTCTTTAAAAAAGTTTTTATTGATTTTTAGAGAGAGAGGAAGGGAGAGGAAGAGAGAAACAGCGATGCAGTAAGAGAGAGACATCGATTGTCTGCCTCCTGCAGGCCCCCTGCCGGGGACTGAACTGCAACCGGGGCATGTGCTGGACTGGGCGACCTTTTGGTGCATGGGATGACACTCAACCAACTGAGCCACAGTGGCCAGGGATCCCTTTTCTGATTTTAAGTTAGCTTTCCTTCACCACTCACACCCACATGTGCCAGGGTGACTTTTTCCACACTGCCCATCAAGTAAGTATGTTAAGGTAATATAAAAATATTTTCATATTAAACCAAGAGAAAATAAATTAGAAAGGAAAACTTGTTGCCATAGAAGAAATTGTGTTCCATGTGAGCACAAAGATTCTAAAATCTTACTTAGATATTAATACTATTATGCTCCCATCACTTTTTTTTTGGAGGTATTTTACAGCTATAAAATGTGTGGGTGCCAGAGGCGTAGAGAGGAAAGGCTGGGGTGACGAGTGGATTAGGTAAGAATGATTTTTTCCTTTACCACTATAGCCGCCTGGAGCATAATTCCCCTTCAAAGCCTTGGTAAGAGCAGCCGGGTATAATGAACAGTGGTTAAAGGTGCTTTGTTTTACATCCAGCAAAAAGGATCATTAACACCTCAACTGTTTTTTAACGAAGGCTTTGGAAGGGCTCCTGCTGCTGTTGACAATCACGGTAACCCTCAGGATGGCGGTAGGGGCAAAGGGGTGGCTAATTCACCAGAAAATGGTAGTCACTGATTTGGATTATGTGCATTACCGCTCCCCTCCATTCACGTGCTTAATTAAGAGCCGACTAGTGCAAAATAAATGAAACTGCAATTTTTCACTGGAACTATCTGGGGAGCAACATAAATTTTGCAGGGAGGAAGGGGATCTGCTAGAAAAACTGTATTGTCATGTCCCCATTACATTTCTATTCTAGAGTTAGTCTTAATCGGCACCTCTGATCCCTAAGGGGCCAAAGGCTTATGAGTCCGAGAGACATCTTACTGAAATGATGACACAGAACAAGTGAGTACAGTTCCATCTTCATTTTATCAAAGGAGAAATAAAGGCAAAGAGCTGTGTGACGGAGACAATATAGTTCTTCTAAGGTATAATTCCAATCACATCAGGGAAAACCCCAGAAGGAGTGCAGCTATAGTTGGCTCAACCTTATCCACGACCTCAAGTTTCGCATCATTCAAAACTTTCTGTGAAAGTCTCTAAAGTGACCTGCTGGTTGACTGCCTGGGAGTCATTTCTATTTGTTCAGTCCCTGGTGGGAGAGAAAATGGAACTACTTTCTTATAGTTCAGTTAGTCTGGATGGAGGGAATTGAACTTAGTTCACAAAAGTGCCAAATTCCACACTGTCCCCTTTCAAAAAAATGCATGAAAAGTTAGAGCACAAAGTCCGGGTTCTAGGTTTGTCATACTAATGCTTCATCACCTCCTTCCCACCTCAAAATCATTGCCAGCAAACTCTTCTGTTGACTAGTTAAGACAGGTGAAGAGAAATCATTGGTGAGGTCCAGAATTCCCACAATCCTTTTGATTACATTTCCCCCATAAGCTTAAAAAAAAAAAAAAGACCACAAACTCAAGGTTTATTTTAAATTACCAAAGTTCCTGAAAAAGAAGACGAATTTATTTTCGGTATTAAAGAGACCAGCATCAGTTCTCGTTATTCTGCCTCATCCATATTGAAACTCACCAGCTTAGAAAGTTGCAAACTCATACATAATGTTTCAAACTCCTACTAATTGTTAAGAAAGGAGTTACAACAGCTAACGCCATGTGCGTAGGAAAGGTCAAAGAGTAGAAAATGCCAACCAGGGGTGTACAGAGAGAAAGAAGGCTGTGACTGATATAATATTTCGTGTCCGTGGTTCAGGGATAGCATGCTTCTATTAGGAGCTGAGGAATCAAGATGAGAAGCCTTTGGTATCCAAACTGGCTGCCTGAGATTTCTGCCATGCCCTTTTTGGCTGATCTAATGCAATCAATTGGAGAAAGGGGCCTGAAAAACAGGAGGAAAATTTCTCAACCTCTGGTCAATCGCCAGCCCCAAGGGTAGGACTGAGTACAAATATACTCACGTCCTGACCTGGAATGGCTGTGAGACAACTTGGACAACTAATCACTTAGTATTTGAGTCAGGCCTGTTGTGAATGCCCAGGTTGCTTCCACCCCGGGGCCCTTGTCCTGCAGGCCCTTGGAAGAACGGGCATCACAGGGGAGAGGCTGACACAGCCGGTGTTATGGGATTTAAAGGGTGGTAACCCATATGGATGGAAGTAACAGCATTTAACACTATCTTTTTTTTTTTTTTTAATTTAAAAAATTTTTTTGCTATTCATATTTTTTATTTTTTTCCTCTTCTTAAAGAATTCCCTTTAACATTTCTTGTAATATTGCCTTGGTGGTGATAAACTCCTTTAGCTTTTTCTTGTCTGGGATGACACATAGTGACCACAGAAGTCTTTCAGATCTGAATGTCAACACATAATTAGAGTTTAAAAAATTTGTAACATATTTTTTTTTGGGCCAAACTTATCTGTCAAGGCTGGTATTTCCTCCTTCCCCTGAAGCTTGAGTGTTGGTCAGGGTAGGCTAGGAGAGGTAATGCTGTAACAACAAACATCCCTTAACTGTCCTCAGGCAATACACATTTATTACTTGCTCATGCAACATGCAGGTCAGAGAGGTGTTCGGTTCTGCTCATGGTAGTTCGAGTGTCACTATCCACTGGCCAAGGCATGTCATGCTGCTCGCCTAACTTCAGAGGGTGCAGGGAAGTGGCACACTTCCATGAGCTGGTCTCGGTGCTGCTTCAGCTCCCTGGTTGTGGGGCTTCTGTGCAGCCAGATCTCAGGAGGCTCTGAGTGATGGTGGTTCTGTATTTTAGTTGTAATTTTGATGTGGTTGCGGGAGGCGGCGGGTGCGGCTGTTACCTGCGCCGCCGTCTTGTTTTCCTTCCCAACACTATCTTTAGATCAGGGGTGGGGAACGTCACTTGGTCTGGCCCTGCCAAGGCAACCACAGCAGGTGGGACTCGAAATTCAATAAATCTAGGAGTTTTCATAGCTAATTTTTAAGTTGATAATTTTGTATGGCTTGTGAATTATGTTATAAATATCCAAATGGCCCTTGGCAGAAAAAAGGTTCCCCACCCTGCTTTAGATCATCATGATTCTACCTTTAGGGCAGCAGAATTGAGTAAATCCCTAATAATTTCAGGTTCGGTGGGATCTTGTGTCATAACTCATAGTAGAAGCTATAGTACATACTCCATAAATATGTACAGTATAGCTCCAAGAGGCTGGGACACTTATAGACTGTGGCAGAATACATGGTCTTCAAAGATTTGCTTTTGTTCTGCTGAGAAGCTCTTGTCACAAATTGGACAACTCAAAGAAAGGGTCTGAATGGGCAGCTCCTCCAAGGTGTGATCAAAAATGCTGTCAGCAAAGGCTGATCTGCAGCTGGGGCATTTCTTGATGGAGAGCTGGGAGGAAGAACAAAGAGGTCAGTAAAAATGTAAGCTGCATGTAGCACAGACCATGTCTATCTGATTTTCCACTATATCCTCAGCATCTAGCAAAACGCTTGGCACATGGTAGGTACTCAAGATATAGAGGATGAATGAACAATTCACATTTGGAGAGACTCACTGGGGCTTTCTCTAACGCCAGGATCGAAAGGACCTAATATTGCTCAAGCAGTCAAATAGCTTCCAGCCTGGAAGGGGCACTGGACATACCTTGTTTGGATAGCTGCCTAGTTCACACCTTTTCTCTACTCCTGCTACTAAACTCACAGTGGAGATTTTGAGCAGGATGTTGATGAATAAACTGCTTTCTTCTCCCACCTCAACAGGCTTGTTCAGCTTTAGGCTCTGAATAAATTGATCCAGCTGACTTCTGGAGTTATCAAAATGACAGTTTCCCTATGGTTCTCCCAAGAATTGGAGCAGGAAGGGAAATTTTCTCAAGGATTTGATGTGGTCAGTCTCATGATTCAAAATACTTACCAGGCTGGGGGCAGAACTTTCTTGGATGCCTGAGGGAAATAAAAAAGGATTTCATTCAATGAAAAAAGATCATCCCTAGATCTCCAAATGTGTTCTAGCAGCTGTTTTCTGTAACCCCATAGTTCCCTTTCTCCCCACTGACCTCTGACTCTTTATCTCGTATGTAAACCACTTATTTCTAATAGAGGGGATCTAGGTCAATGATTAGGGAAAAACTGAAAAAATAATGAAGGGGCTTTTTCAATAACCATGAATGTTACACAATCAGAAAAACCAATAAGCCTATTTTCAGTGGGTGGAAAATGAGATATTAATAAAAACAGTAACAATTTAACAAGGAAACAGTCTGAGAACAGATTAAAAAATTTTTTAAAAATATGCTTTTATTGATGCCGGAGACAGGAAGGGAGAAGGAGAGAGAAAGAGAGAAAGATCAACGACGAGGGAGTCATTGATGGGCTGCCTCCTGCACACCCTGCACTGGGGATCGAGCCCAAAACCCGGGCATGTGCCCTGACCGGGAACTGAGCCGGGACCTCCTCCTGGCTCATTGGTTGACACTCAACCACTGAGCCAAGCTGGCAGGGCTGAGAATAGATTTAAGACTGAATCCACATAGTTGTTTTTCAAATAAAGTGCTTACAAATATTTAAAAGGAAAAATAAACTTGTACCCCTGCCTGCTGCAAAGATCTGATTGTGACTCTTTTGAGAGACCATGACTGCTTTAAATGGCCAAAAAAGCAAATGAGGTCTCATATCACTTTTGAAGATAGAAGAGGAAAGTTCCCTGTTTGGCAAAGACATCTGACCCCTGGTCCTTGAGTGACAAGAGTTGCTGTCACCTCCATTTCCTGTCCTCCAAACCACCCAGGGGTCTCTGTGGAGCACACTCCTGATACCCCTGGTCAGGCCATCGGGTGGCTGCTGTAACTGCCCATTACTGGGTGGCATTTCTCGCCTCTTGTGCTTCCATTTCTAAACCTTAATTAGCTTCCTCAGCTTTGTATGTGTATATCTTCTACACAGAGACATTTCCCTGATTTATAGATTTGGAATATAGCCACGGGACTCAATTTGTGTCTGCTGCCTCTAGGCGAATGATCTGATTTGCGCCTTCTAGATTCAGATTTATTTCTCAATTAACACTTCTTGCCCGGCAATCTTTCTATTGGCTCTTCAGCTTCTGCCCAGCAAGTCTTGACAATGAGACTGGTCTTAATTAGCATCTCAGTCACACACAAATTTAGTGGGGGAAAGGGATGTATGTAGGCAGGGGCCTTTCAGCTCGAATGGCAAAGTTGTCTTACCAGAATATGGGTTTCCAAAGATAAGTCCTGGGTTTTGTCCTGCACCTCCTTGACCTGAAGTAGGTGCTTGAAATGGCAGAGAGTCAAAATCCAGACCCATGTAACTCATCAATCTGCTGTTCTCCCTCTTCAAAAGCTAAGGATAGAAGATTTATTGCGACATGTTGAAAGACAACAAAGAATGGCCCCAATGAACTGGCAAAAGGGTGCCCATTACAGGTAGTTCTTAATGAACAATGTGGTACTGGAAGAGCCCAGGAAATGATTAACCACAGTTCTTCAAAGGGGGAAGCATCAGCCTCCACACTCTGAAGATCTGAGTTCTTAACATCTGAATTTAAACATATATCAAATTTTGTTTAGATTTACATAAAAAATAACTTAAAATCTCTAAATACATATCAACTGAAGGAGGCATAAATGTTGTGTGGATATATGAGGCTGGCAGGAGTTATGTTAAGATTGAAATTGTTGTACATTATTGACAGCAAAATGCTTCTTTTTAGTCTCTTTCCTAGAATAATTTTCTTATACAATGTAAATATTCATCTGATATACATTTTCCTTCTTCATGTTTTATCCCATCCAATGGACAGACCAACAGAGTGAGGGAGGAAATGAGAGGGAGAAAGAATGAGAGAGAATAAGCTATGAGGGGGCGGGGCAGCACTGAAAGTGCTTTAAAAAGAAAATTAGTACACTGCCCCTTAATACCTTAAGAGGTCTTTCCTATAGTGCTTAACGAAGCTTCCAAATAGCACGCCTTTCCTTCTTGTGGTAAACTGTGTACATACTCCCTCCCGATCCCCGCCTGGCCCCATCAGACTATTCCAGGGAAACAGGAATTTCAAAGTCAAGGTACACTTGCCTAACTCAAGAGGTTGAGGATGACGGGGCCAGAAATAGACCCTAAATGCCTCCTACAATACTGAGACACACAGGCATAAACAGTAAAATCAAAAGGAGAAGTGATCACTTGGAGCATAGCCCAGAAGGGTTACAGAGAGGGCAGAGACGGGGAACTGCTGGAGGTGTAGACCTAGAAGGAGCAGCCAGAACGCATGGACACCCACTCCTCGATGCTAGGTAAGGACATGAGAATGACTTCAAGTGCAACCACTTCCCTTGCTGTCATCATCCTCAGTCAATCAATCAATAATAGCTTGTGTTTAACACACAGCAGAAAATAAATATCGGTTGGATGAATGAATGAACTGATGAATGAATGAATGAATGCACAGCATTTATTGGGAGCCTACCATGGGTCCAGCACTGGTACAGACCACCAATTCTGCTCCTGGTTTGGCAGCAGAGAGAAAAGAAAAAGTTGTGCTGAAGGAAAGGGGATCCTCAGCTATAAAAGTGATATAGGATATTGCCCTACAAAGACAACACAATAGCGGTGAAGATAAAACCAAAAATAGTAAGTTTGATCTTCATCAAAGCTGTTCCTTTCTGGTTGACTATTGCCAGGCCAAGCGAGTTTGTTATAGAACAGAGAGGGGATTTAGTGGTAGATTAGGACATCAGATTAAATTTACTTTGCTTAGGAGCAACTGCCTCCCCCACTGTCACAGAAGGGGCTCTTTTATTTAACTTTTTATTTTATCACCATACCTTTGGGTCACTCTGCTCCTTCCCCTTAAAATCTTGGGGTTTTCTATCCTCATTTACATACTTACATCATTTTCTCCTTCCATTCTCTCTTTTTCTCTCTGTAGAACCTCACATATCATCTTGTTCTCACTCAGCTTTTTTGACAAGTCGAAGTTCTCGTCCTGTAAATAATTAAAAAAAAAAATTAGAATTAGGATCTCACATGGTCATCTGGATCCAAGGTGGGCTAAAACAAAGAGATCGCAGAGGCTCTAGTTTTCCAAAGTGTGGGGACTGAGGTCGGGGAGGGAACTGGGGTAGGGAGGAGTGGTATTATGGAGGGGATGTAACTAACAGAAAAGTGACTTAACAAAATGCCTGAAGGCCTGGGGTGGCATCGAGATGCTGGTTTCTCCTGGTTTAGCTGGGAGTGTAAGTGACCAAAGAGAGAAAAAGTTTGGGGAAAAACCTCAAGACTGACTAATCAGAGTTAAGGATAGATGGAGCCTTGTTTAACCTCACCCAGCCAGGGAAACTATCACCTTTGTCTTGAATAAACATCTCATCAGTGCATCCTGAAGCTCTTAGGGTTAGGTTGCCGTGACTCCCTCCCAGTGTGAAAACAGGCATCTGGACTTAAGTTACAGTGAGGAAGAAAGAATCCTGGAAGACATTTATCCAAGGCTACCAGGAACCCACACTGGGATGTTGGGCTTTGCAGTATGATGGGTTGACCTGACTAGTTACATGCTTCGGAGCTTTCCATCTCCTACCCACATAACATCCATATTCGCAGAAACACTTAAGCTAATCCTACTAACTGTGGTTTTTCCCTCCAAGATTCTTTATTTGAATGCTGGTGCCCAAACTGCTGTGCACTTCTAGCCAACCCTGAGGTAGTAATGCGCGAGAAGGGCTGCCCGATGACAGTGCTGACTGCAGGCTCCTGGCTCCCCATGCCCTTTGGCTCCTGCTGGCTCTTCCAATCCTGTTTCACTTCCTCAAAAGGCAGAAATAAGAAAGGGCTCTCTGAATCTGCACAGAAACCTGCTGGATGGTTACAAAAGTCCTCCCTGAGGTCCATGACTCAGCTGGGGCCTATATTTCCGGGGATTCCCAGATTCTGGGGATTCTGGCCACTCCATCCCTCCTCTTTTTAGCAGAAAGATAAATTTCTCTCCTTAACAAGGGTGTATAATCCTCTGGGCTTGTCTAAGAACCACAAACATTCACACCCCTTGCTTCCTGGGCCCCTAATCTCTGTCACCTACCAGTGCAGCAACCCTGAGTTGCCTGATCTGCTTGTGGAGTCACTGACACTCTTTGTACTTCTCTAAGAAACAGGCTTTCCTGGCCTCTACCTTTGCCTTTACCTGGTCCGCCTCTTGTACTAACTGCTCCTCCACTGCTGTTGTCTTGTTCCTAGGCTCCTGAAGTATAATAGTCCTCATAGTTAGGGGCCTTTTGGATGCATGAGGAATAAAGAATTGCTACCAGCTGGGAACCCTGGATCTTGCAAAATACTCCAGGAAAAACCAAGGAAAGCCATACCTGCCTCAAGAAGGTTCAAACCTTTGAATGGCTCTACATTATTTAAAACAGTAATTTCTTTGCTACATTAGAGGTTACAAACTCAAATATGTCTATTGAGAGGGGTCAGGCAAGTAGTATAACTGAATGAAGGAGGTGACTGCAATGAAACAGTGAAGACAGCAGACAAATGGAGAACACATGACCAATCTAAAGGGTGCAGCAGCTACTCAGCTCCAGATGTAGACTTAATGTTTCCAGATCCTCTAATTTTTCAGTAGAAGCTGGAATACAATTCTTAATGTGAAAAGTTCCCATTTTTAAGTATTGGTAATTAATTCAATTTTTAAAAAAATGCCATCTGAGCCAAATACAATATTTCTGTGGACTAAACTTAACCCATGAGAGCTGGTGATTTACAAACTTTTACTCTTTATTAGGTTAAGTATATAGTATCTTATATATAGTAGGTACTCAATAACTGATTGAATAATGACTGACTGAATGAATGAACGATACATATATGAGTTACAATCCCAGTAGTTGGATAGCCTCCAGACATTGGGATTTCTTGTATTCTTACAGCAATTCAGAAAATGGGGCTCCTAGGCACCTGTCATTACCATGAAGCCTCTTTTCCAACAATATATTATAGAAAATTATTAGTCAATTAGGCTATTACCGTTTTACTGTAGCTCAGAATAATTTATAATGATGACAATTGCTAATATTATATTAATTGTAACAAGACTTTTTACTGCTGTAATATTTTCCAATCGTGGAGCTCAACTTTATAATCATTTGTCTGCCTGCGTAATAACTCTTTAAGAGGGGAATTCCTAGCCCAAGGCTCTATTTCCTACAACCTGTCATGAAGTTTAACTTCCAATTTTCTTTTATCACTCATCACACATTAGAAACACCTACCTCTCCTAAACGTTTTATACGTAGCACATTCTCTATCCTTCTGGGTGGAATGCAAAATGTCCAGAAGTGCATGCTGTTCTCCGCTGCCTGATTTACCCCGCCCGTTACCTGAGTATGGACCCTACCCCTTCCTTTCCGTAGGCCCCCCACATAGCCATCCAAAGACAGACATGCCGTTAACTCCTGCTGCTTCTTCCTTGCAGTAGCTTCTTTCTGCTCCAGCAGCTCCACTTTCTTCTCGAGCTTCTGCTGGTGCTCCCTCTGCACAAAAACAGATTTCAGTAGCACTGTTAGAAAAACACACACACACACACACACACACAGGCACTGGGGAAAGGCCTGCCCAGCTAATGAGCAAGCAGGATGCAGAGGGACAAGCAAGTCTTCTCTTATTAGTTTCTGAGAACAGCCATAAGACACCTCATTTCAGATGGCTTCCTCTGAGGCCTTTCCCAGAGCCAGTGACATCCAGGTATATGACAGTGTAAAGAAAGAACAATGTATATATTTTCTCCTAAATGATGAAAAATATCATTTTCTTTCATGACGTTACCTGTTCAGTTAAACTGAGAAAGAGCTGGTCATTTTCCTTTTTCAGATATTCCAAATGCACTGTCTTATCTTGATCTCCTTGAACAAGCTTCTCCATTTCTTTCTCTTGAGTTGACAGCTGGGCCTAAAGCAAAAATAGTAAATACAACCAAGATATAAAAGAAGGAAAACCAACCAGGAACAATGCTTTTTACTGTGCAAAACAAGAAATGTGTGTTCCGTAACAGCCTCCAGCTGCCAAGTCCCTTGGGACTTCGCTTTTTAGCTCTACCCCGCACCCTGAGAATCTGACTCACTGAGTAAAATCTGACAGCCTACTCTTCAAAGCCCTTCCTTAGAGCACAGCTTCCTAAAAAGAGAGGCATTCTGCCATCTGCTTTACATTTCAGGCTTCTGAGTAAGATTTGGCTTGAAAAGATTTTGTAGCTAAAAGAAAAATGTTTGACAACTATTGGTATAGATGACAGTCATCCTTCTTAGGAGCTCATGATAAGTATAAACTAATTAAATTATTCAGATCCTGTGGACTGGGACTATAAAATAAAGTAGTTTCTATTCACTGTCAAGAGTTGGAAACATATACTCTGAAACTTCAGGCTGATGCTTAGAAAGGTACACCGTTAGGCATTCACTACAATGAAATGCATCTTCCTGGGCCACCAGAGACGAGTGGTGGCAAGACTGAGAAAATATACTTGGGCAAAGGTTTGTCATTACCGACCTGCAGCTGATCCACTCTGACTCCCATCTTCTCATTTTCTGAGGACATCTTTTCGTTTTGTTCTTTCAGCCTGTGGAAGAGGAGATGACTATGTGAAATATACGCTGCTGCCTGCTGGCTCCCCCAGGCCTTAAATGATTGAAGGCTGCCTTGGCCCTATTTTATCTTTATTTATTTATCTATTTAATCCTCACCCGAGGATGTTTTTTCCATTGCTTTGCAGAGAGAGTGGAAGGGAGAGAGAGGAACATCACTGTGAGAGACACACATTGATTGGTTGCCTCCTGCATGTGCCCCAACCAGGGCCGGGGATCGAGCCTGCAACAGAGGTACGTGCCCTTGGCTGGAACTGAACCTGGGACCCTTCAGTCCGCAGGCCAACGATCTAACCACTGAGTCAAACTGGTCAGGGCTTGGCCCTATTTTAAAATCCACTAGTTTCTTCTTCAATCCTGTTTTGGCTTCCTGACCTCCAAGTGTAGGTATTCGATACTTAACGTTAATACTTGAACTCAGGTCATTTCTCCTTACCATTCTGACATGAATTCTCTAACCTAGAATCAAAGAACTCATAACTTAAAGGGGAGAACCATACCTATCAATGTCATAATAGGAAGACTGTAGTCTAACAAATTCTAGAAATCTAATCTGACGCTACCTAAGGGTGCCTATAATCCATAGTTCCTCCTATCCAAGGATCACACTCACTGAAGCAGCTCTGTCTCCCAGCTGTCCTTCTGCTCTTGCATATTCTGTTCCAACTTCTTGTTGATGCTCTTTAAGGTTTCTAGCTCCTCCTATAGATTGAAATGTCAAAGGGACAGGCCATTTCTAAGACAGCTTTAGTATCTCAGGCAGCCAACAAATATTTATTGAGCACATAGTACATGTCAGGCTTAGCAGGGCACAACAGTGAGTAAAATATCCACGTAAAGGAGTTTCCATATTCAAGTATTTTTAATATGTTTTTCCATATTAAAATGTATCTACCGTAATTTCTCTTCCACTGTAGCATACATTGGCCCATTAATTCATGAAACAAATATTTAATGAGCGTCTATGACACACCAGACCCTGTTCTGGCAGTGCAGACACAGCAGTAGATAAAATAAAGCTGCTCTACTCCTAGAAATGTGCTGTCCGATAAATTCAGAAAGCCACATATGTAATTAAAAAATGTTAGTAGCCACATTAAAAATAGTAAAAAGTAACATGAAATTAATTTTACCAAAAGTACATTTAACCCAATATATCTAAAATATTCTTTCAATATGTAAACAAAAAAAATTTTACATTTTTTTCAGACTAAGTCTTCAAAATCCGGTGTGTGTTTTATGCTTACAGCATATCAAAATCCACCACATTTCACGTGTGGCTAGTGGCCACAATATTCATCCTCAACATTTGTTTTTTTCTCCCAGTGTCATCCTGAACTGAATTAATTCTTGTATGTAAGTGAAAACTATCTGCTTTTAGCTCCAAAATTTAAAAAGTTTGTTTACAGACTTTAAAAAAAATCATTTTTTCTGTTTAAAAAATTGTAGTAAGATACACATGACATAAAATTTACTATCTTAATCATTTTAAGTGTACCGTTCAGTGGCATTAATAACATCCACATTGTTGTGCAACCATCACCACATCCACCCACAGAACTCTTTTTATCTTGCAGAACAGAAGCTCTGGACCCATTAAACTAACTCCCCATTTCCCCAGCTCCAGGCAAACACCATTCTTCTTTCATCTCTATGAAGCTGACTACTTGAGGTTCCTCATACAAAGGGAATCATATGGTATCCATCTCTGTGTCTGGCCCGCTTTACCTAGCATAATGTCTTCAAGCTTCATCCATGTTGCAGCATGTGTCAGAATTTCCTTCTCTTTTAAAGCTGAACAATATTCATTGTATGTACACGCCAAGCCATGTCTACCCATCTATCAGTCACTGGATACCTGGGCTGCCTCCATCCTTTGGCCATTGCAGAAAATGATGTTATGAACATGGGTACTAGTATCTATTTGCAAAAACAGGTATCATTGGGCCTCCTTTTACAGGGAGGGAAACTGAGGCTCATCAGAGATGTTAAGCTATTTCTTCTGGCTCATCAAACAATCAATGGGAGAATCAGCCCATGTGACTCCAAAGACAGGGTTCCTAACCATTGTATGATCCTGTCTCTAAAAACCATGGGCTTTAACATAAACAATATGAGTTCAAATCCCAGCTAGTTCCAAAGCCCCAAACCTCTCTGAGCTACAGGGCTGTTTTAAGAATTAAATGAAGTGATGTGCTTAATTATAGTGCTTGGCACAATGGAGGTGCTGAATAAATACTGGCTTTTGTTATCATTATAACTGGTAGCAAGTGCATAGGAGAGCTAACCCACGAACCCAGACACTCTGGTTCCTTGGTTAGAACCTGGCAGGTAGGCTGTAAGGCTCCTGACCAGATGTTGGTCCTTGAGAGCCGAGTTGTGAGTTATGCCCATGCCACTTTTGTGTGTTATCCCACTGCTCAGAACAGGCCAGGTCTGCAGCCTGAACCTGCCATCCGCACTTCTATAGCAGCCCAGGGCCGGCAACATCACAGGCACTTGAGTGACAGCAAGGTGTAAAGAACAGAGCACTGTCTGGGAGTCAAGAGAAGTGAGTCCTAACCCAGTGTAATCACTAAACTTCCCCTCGCCTCTGGGCCTCAGTTTCCTCACCTGCAGATCAAGGGCTTTATAGATGGTGATTACCAAGGTCTGTGTGTTCTGGAAACTTCTAAGCTATGACCTCAGTGTAATTAGTTTAGTCTTTAGAGAAAACTCTCCTCTTCAGCTTCTAGTATTATCAACTGTCATTCACCACCTGGTGATTTGAAGAGAAGCTGCAAAGAATTTGGATAACCCACAATCTTACTTTATTACTGTCTCCTTTCTTAATGCCCACACTCTAGCTAATCAAAGAAGTAGTCAGACTGCCTGGGTCTGAATCCTGGCTCCATCACTGATTAGCTGTATAAGAGATTACTTAACCCTCCTAAACCTCAGGTAACTCCTCTATAAAACTGGTATAATAATAGTACATACTCCAAAGGTTTGCCATGAATTTTAAATAAAATAATCCACATAAAACTTTTAACACTATGCCTATTCAAAGATATTAGTATAAGGGAGTGAGATCGCAGGCTAAAGAGAAGATGGTGCTGGCTAAAGGGCAACATCCAATTCCGACCAACATACTCCAAATTCACCTGTGACCAGCAGCCATACCTGCCGCTTCCGGAGCTCAGCCTGCAGCTCTGAGCTCTGCGTCTGGAGGCCGGCACAGCTGTCCTTCAGCGCCTGGTTCTCTTTGCGAAGCTCACTGTTGTGCTGCTCGATCTCTCGCACTTCATCCTATGAAAGAGCATCCCACAAACTCTATGGCTCAGTGGGTATTCAAATCTCTCCAGCAGAAAACGCCCATGGCCTGGGACAGGGAGGGTCTAGCTGATTCTCGCTCACTGTAGTGACATCTGTGTACCCCGAATGGGAGGAGCCCCTCAGTATGTAAGGAAGGCAGTAATAAAGGTATGTCTGTGTAAACTGCAGCACTGAGCCTACCATTACCAAGAAGAAAGACAAACAAAATTAAGGCCATAAGAAGCGAAAAGGGGGAATGACAGAAGAATGCAGATTCTTCTGGCAACACTTAGTACTGCTTCTCTGTCTTATGGACTTAGCTCCGTGAGGCCAGGGACAGTGTTTTAACTGATTCTTCACTGCGTCCCTACTGCCTACCATTGCGCTGGAGGGACAGAAGGCATCCTGTCCCTCCCGAGTAAGTAAATGAATCCGATATCTGTGCATGACAGGCTCTGTGTCAGAACTGAAAGACACAGGAAGACTATTTGGTACATCTATCCTCGAAGGAGCGTATCAATTTACTGTGATGGTAAGATGTGGAGATGACAGAAATTAAGTAACCGGAAAAATTAAGGAAATAACTGAATGCCAACTGAGTTACAGTAGTTTTAGAGAAAGGATGAATCACTTGTTATGGTTCTTGTTAACATTCCTAAGTCACTCTGGAGTGGGTTGGAGAGAGTATTGTATAAATTCTTCTCAACAGTATCTGCTATCCATTCATTAAAGGCTTTTTGACCCAAATCCCACCCTATCCTGGAATTGATCCTCTTACTGGCCGCAAGGGGTGGAGGTGAGATGCTCACAGACCTGAGTGGTAACAACCAGGATGTCATCCTCGTTTCTTGGATGGAACTGGAAAGGGACGCTTGCTCCCCGGACCACACCGTCCTGACCCACATAGCAGAACTGGTAATACTCATCATCCTTGGGCAGGTAATAAGCTGAAAACACAACACGATTTGTAATCCCAAACGAGGTCTATTCAGAAAACTAAAAACTGGAAGTCTTTATCTGCTCCAGAAAGCCCAGGCTTGAGGAAATAAATTAGTCTTAGCCGCTAACCATCTTCAACACCTTTGACCCGGTATTTTTCTCACCTTTGAACTGGACTTTCTGCTGTGTGGCCGAGACGCTGTTTAGGTCCGTAGGCAAAGTAACCCACATGAAGGTGTAATACTCGCGGGTTGTCTTCCATCCCACCTGCAACGACAAGAGGCTCTTGTTCAGCATCTGAAAGTGCTCAGGGGAAAATCCTTATTTGGGCTATGTCGCCTCAAAATGTACTTTTTATTTATGTTGAAAAGACAATAGAATGAGTCCATTATGACCAGATCCACTCACCATGGATCAGATCTTATTTTTGGCTTATGACAACCATATACAGTAAAATGTCTGATACAACTAAAGATTGGCACGCACAGAGTCCAAAATACCTGTCTTAGAAGGAAACAAAAACTGACCACTCAACATCCAGGACAAGAGTTCCAAAAATTTTATCTCCAAGTCAGACGCAGAACTGAGAGTGATTGGGAAAAGAAGTTCCGGGCGGTGAACCTCGATCCCACCATCATCTTACAAAGGCGTTCCTGGAACTTCTTACTCGGAAAGCACTCTCCCTCTCCTGTGTCCATGTCAGTCTTGTCACCTATACTGACCTGATTATACTACTGCATTTTTTAAAAAATGCATTTTTTGATTAATGTGCATGTTGGGGTGGAAGGGCAAGAGGTGTCTTAGATTATGAGGCATCAGATAACTGAGTCCAGTCTACAGAGTTTCCTTTCTTTCAGTGTTTTTCTAAATGCGTGCTTAATGAAGGCTTTTTGGTGCTAAAAATAATAACAAGCTGGTAGTCCTAGAGGCCTCTTCTGGGTGTTAAATGCAGTAAGTCATATGATACAAGGGTACTGTAGAATATGCCTCGGAGCAGACAGCTGGCTAAGTGGAAAACATTCTCACTAAACGAGGAGTAAAAGATGGCTCAAGTCATATCTAGAAGATAAGAGCACACCAGAGAACAGAAAGGGAGCCACTGTGTCTTCAAGGCGGGAATGCTCAGCAAATGAGAAGCAAAATTACATTTATTGCCATATTTGACCCTGCCTGAGCCCAGTGGGAAGAAAAAGAGCTAAAAATAAATTCCATTTTTATCTATTAAGGAATTGGAGCGGGGTTGAAAAGGCTACACTGAAAGCTCATCAGAACATACTGGGGCATGTTTTAGTGTCTCATTAATACACACCCCATTGGTGTAAGCATCTCAGAGCCACTGCAGCATGAGGTGATGCAGGAAGCTGGAATTTTATGGAGTCTTCATTCACATCCTGTAGTTTCTTAATGTACTGTGACCAAAATATCATCTGGGAAAGCCTAAGAATTACTGCTGCCTTGGAACAAGAAAACAGCTTTTAGCTACCTGCAATTTCTGTCCTTGGCTCGTCCACGTGAGCTGTCCCAGTCCCAGTCTGCCACCTGTGGCATGGTATTTCCCCTCTCTGAAACACTGGAAAGATCTCCATGCCCAGATAAAGGAGATTATGGAGCATAGGACCATACACTGAAGGAAGGAAAGCTGACTCCTGTCCACTTTAGGCTTGATCACTGGTGGTAGCATTTGCTGTGTGGAGGAGATGTAGCATAGTGTACATCTGGAAACATTTCATGAGTGCCTACTTGTGCCAGGAAGTATCAGTGTTAGGGTTGCCATGGACTTGAAGGATATGATTAAGAACACACTGAAAGAACACTGGGAGAGCTTTAGGAGAGATTCAAAGGACAAAACTTTAGTCAACTTTTCATTCTCTAATTTACCATTTGTTGTTCAAAGGACTAGAGGAGAAGCAGCAGAGGGTTAAATATCAAACAAGCTTGCTTTACCCCTTACTCATTGGGAGGCCTTGGGCAAGTCACCATCTGGAGTATATTCATTGTATTCATCTGTGCACAACAGACACTACTACTTACCTCAGGGGGCTGCTGTGCTGCGAGGATTAAGTTAGAACACACACACCTACACACATGCACACATGCACAGGCACACGCAAACCACCTCATCAAAGGCCTAGCACACTGTGTGTTCTCAAAAAGTTTGCGTTCTTTCTCCATTAGTCTTAACACATTCTTTCAGGCTTCAGGATAGGTGTTCAAATCAATGGCTTTATGGACAATGAACATTAGAGGCCATTCTTTGGATTAACCATTTCCTTACTGAGGTATGGCAATACCTCCGAAATGCATGAAGCATTCCAAATGTAGGTGCGTTTTAAAACATTTGTGTTTAAAAAGCTTGACTTTCATTTGGTTTATGGGCAAGTCCTCACTGGAAGTTGCTAAGTGCTTGGGAAATACAATCAGTCTAAGTTAATAGAAACATAACAAAAAAGTTACAGATTGCATTATAAACTCTAATAAGTACTTTTTGAATCCTTTTTTAAAAAAAAAAAAAATTTTTATTGATTTCATAGAGAGGAAAGGAGAGGGAGAGAGAGAGATAGAAACATCAATGATGAGAGAGTCATTGATCGGCTGCCTCCTGCACACCCCCTACTGGGGATTGAGCCAGCAACCTGGGCATGTGCCCTGACCGGGAATCGAACCCCAATCGCCTGGATCCTGGGTCGACACTCAACCACTGAGCCATGCCTGGCTGGGCCCTCCTCTTTTTTTATTATCTTAAAATACAAATAAATACATATTTATTAAAAATTTTAAGTTAATTAAAATTAAATGAAATTTAAAATCCAGTTACTCAGCCATGCCAGCCACATTTTAAGTGGTCAGTAGCCATATATGGCTAGAGATTACTGTGCTGGACACTGAAGGTAGAGATCCATTGTAGTAAGTTCTACTGGACAGCTTTGCTACCTGAGGGGAAGAAAAAACAACTATCATCCTTACTATATAGGAAACACTCTGGTGTGTCAGTTTTCTGTGCTAGGACATCTTTTAGTCTAATATTTCAGCATCCTGCCGTCTCGGGAGCTGTCATGCTACCTGTCAGTGTCCCTCTGTTTGTCCCTGCCTCGAAATACCAGCTGCTGTGGCTCCTTAATTTCAAACAATTAAGGAAAAGTCAGTTAATGAGGGATGTAAATAAGCACCAGCTCCTTCACAGTGTGGTCAAGAAAGATGTCTGAGTTCAGGATGAACAGCACTGGTGAACAGGCAAATGACATACTGAGGTGTCAAAACAAAGGTCACAGGCATTGGAACTCAGCAGTGCAAATTACTTAAATTTGACCTTTATTTCCCATCTCTGGAAATAGGAAGATTTGTCATTATGGTGTGTGCGTGACAGACAAAGACACAGATGAGGGGAGAAGCTGAGAAAGAAAGTTGACCATAATAAAAAAGTAGCATTTCTGTACTTGAACTGACAGGGTGATTAGACATTAGAAGAAAGAGGTCACCGAGGGAGCTCCGAAACCTTCTGTCCTTGGAAATCTTTACAAAGAAATAAGACACTTATTCAGGAATGAATTTCTCAGATGCAGGATCTCGAACCAGGTTAACTTCTCGACATCCTTTCCAGATTTGTAAGAATGTGGAAAGGCCTTGCCACCTTATTTTCGCTTGAGTCCCACAGCACATGTTGGTAGGTGAAGTGGGAAGTGCTGGGGAGCTTAGTTCAGGACTTTAAAATTGAGCAGACATCATGTACAAAACACGCCTGTAACACACAGTAATGAAGATTCACCTCCAGTTCCCAGTCACTTGGTATTAAATTAACTACTTACTCTAAAGATTCCAATCCAATCCTTTCGACTGGGAATGAAATGCTGGGTGACGGTGTAATAGCATGTGACGTCCTCTCCAGGAACATAGAACTTCTCCACACTGTTAAAAATGACCTGAGAGAAATGACAATGGTCCAGCAAGACAGCTGATATGGAGGAGTCTTCTACCGTCTCTTCCATGGTGGGGTCCTGTTATGAGATATGGGATAAAATGAGGCTCAGAGAGAGTTGTGTAAAATGGTGGTGATTTCTGGGCTCTCATCCAGGGAACATTTTGTTCAAGACAAGTCAGGAGAAGCCAAAAAAACCTGACTAGTCCTGAGGTCATACAACTTGCTTTCGGTTTCACGCTGAGCCATTTCGCATACATAACTTCCTAGGCTGTGAGGCATCTCTGAGAATATCTTTGACCCCTTCACTACAGGCACCACCCTTATTCTCTGCTCAGAGCCAGTTTGTTCCCCTTTTTCTAAATGCCTTAAGTAAGGCAGCCTAGAGGAAAGTAGCCTGAGTTGGGAACTGTAAGATAGAGATTCTAGATTTTTTATCCCTAGATGCCCTGTGACTTTCAGAATACCAATTCCTCTAGATTTCAACTTCTCCATTCAATTCCATTTATGATCCTATAATCCCCAGGCCCTTCCATATATTAAGGCACTCTGCTAGGAGCTGGGGATGGGTGCAGGAAGAAAGGGAGGGATGAGAGGGGACTATCTGACATGCGATAAGGACAAGCATGGGTTCTGAAATCAGAATGGTGGAGTTCAAATTCCAGCGTCACCACCTATTAAATGCACAGCCTTGGGCAACTGACTGAATCAATTGGGTTCTGTTCCTGTTTCCTCATTTGGAAAATGGGGCTAATCACAGAGTTTGCACAATGGAAGGGTTTAACAGATGTTAGTGATTATTACCATTGTTTTTTTCCTTCTGACACAGCGTTTGCCCTCAGAATGGGTCCCAAACCAATATGGAGGTTAGGTAAGCAAACAAGTAACAGCCAAATGGATGGTATAAGTGGAAGATTTCTTAGATTCAAAAGAGGGAGAGATGCGACTGGTTAGGAAAATGAAGAAAAGCTTCAGGAAGTGAGTAGAATCCTAGATAAGCCCCTCAAGGAAAAATAGGATTCTGACAAATGGTTTGGGGGTGAGGAAATTCCAGGAATGAAACACATACACAAAAGCAAAGAAACAGAAAGATGCAGCCAATGTTTGGAGGACAGCAAGCAAGTTTGGATCCCTACCTATAAAACGGGGATAATAAACTTTCCAGGTCACAGTACAGATAAAATTCGATCAAGTATGGGAAACAATTTGGGAGGTAAAAACAGTGCATAAAAGAAACATACAGTCTTCTGAATTGTTGAGGCTTCATACTTCCTACCCCTCAAGAGTTACATGCCCCGACTTCTAAATGCCTCCCTGATCTAACATGTAGTGAGTCCATGATTCTCAGCCCAGAATTTTACTGGGAAATGCAAACAACATTGCAGCTCCACATAGCAGATGAAGAACGAGCTGTACATATGCAAACACTATATGAGACTTTAAAAGTTCAGCTGTTGGAACATGTTGGAAGATTGTACACATGCATACACACAATTTAAAATAAGTTGAGCCCGGCGGGCATGGCTCAGCGGTTAGCATCGACCTAGGATCCAGGAGATCACAGTCAATTCCCGGTCAGGGCACATGCCGGGGTTGCGGGCTTGATCCCTAGTCCGGGGCGTGCAGGAGGCAGCAGATCAGTGAGTCTCATCACTGATGTTGCTATCTCCCTCCCTCCTCCCTTCCTCTCTTTGAAATCAATAAAGGTATATTTAAAAACAAAAAATAAAATAAAATAAGTAGAATAATAAACAAAAACACAGTAGTTGTAGCCCCACCCTACTTATTTCCTAGTTTTAGTTTGAACTCTAAGCAAACAGGCCTCTTTTTCCAACTCCCCCCAGAAGCCAGTTTTTTTTTTCATAGAAAAAAGGGCACTGAACTATCTATTCTTGGGATTAATTTTAGTTACTAAAAAGAAAAAGTATTGGCTTTCTGGTTTGAGACACAGTTTAACCACATCCTCAACATCAAACCTCAGATCAGTTTTTCTAAGGAAGAGAGCTGCAGTCTAGGTCAGGACTTGTTCCTCATAAGCTCCTGCCTGTGTGAGCTCTTAGATGTTTTGGGAGGGAGGGCAGGAAGGTCTCTCAGCCTTCAGATCCCCATCTTCCCTAGTGGTCTCCAGTCATACTGAGGCCAGCATATCCCCTGTCCTGAGCCTGGAGCACCATTTATCTGAGCATGTAAAATGACTTACTCTGTCCTTTCACTATTATCTGAAGAACACTCAGGTAAGAGTGACTTCAGGACCTCAATTAACCCAAGTACCATATTCCCTGTTCTTTCCCTTCATGACACTATCACCACTGTATACACAACAGAATGCCTAGCCCGTAGTGACTGCTGATTGAGTAGTAATTGAATAAATCAATGAATAAGATATTATGTAATTCATCAAAAAATGAAAGGGCTCTGTAGGTAAACAATGGTGTGAGTGGTAGTGGGACTAATTCTTTTTTTTACATCTGTTCTTAATTTGTTAGATACCGTTGGAGAAGCTGCTATTTCCCAGCTTTTTCTTCTCTAAAGTAGGGTAAGGAGATGATAATCTCTAAGTGCTACATCAATTCTTGGTATGGCTGGTTCAGCTGGTAGAGCTGGTTCAAGTGGCATGGTGCCAAAAAAACAGAAGGCACAGATTTGATTTCCTGAAGGACCCATAAAATTCACACTCCATTACCCACCTTTCACACACTCAAACTCTGACAATCTGCTTTGCAAATGGCTGCTACTGTAAAAGACAATACCAGCCAAGGGTATGGGGGCTTGGTACCAGCCTCTCTTTCCTTACTAGGAAAACAATCTATACATTAGCTCATGAACAGACGCACACTAAACAGAAGGTCAGCATATATGTTCAAAATGACATGGAAGAGCTCATGTCAAAGCTTGAATGTATTGCCAATGGATACTTTATCTTTTTTCTTTCATCTGAAAACCTAATCATCTTTCTGGAAAAGTCAACAGTCTTGGTTCCTCACTTACCAAAAATGTAAGACTCTATGAAGTTCCCCATTTCAGTAATCTCATCACCTTCCCAGAAGGACCCAGCAGGCACCCAATGGCACTCTGGGTGTCTGGAATGCAATCATTCTTGAAATAAAAACTCTCCTCTGCCAAGACTGGCAAAGACGCAGAGGAGGAAGGCAAGGCAGAAAACAGCAATGGCTTCCCTTGTCTGCTTCTTACCGAAGCTGAGGACAGAAAAGGCCATGGGCAAACCTAGAGCATAACCTTGCCAATCTGAGCTGGGCCAGTGGCGATACCTTATTCGACTTTTCCTGGAAGGAAGGTATGTACTCATTTTAAGGTCAGTGATCCTTAAAGCCTTTTCTCCCTCTCAGTGATAAAATTCCCTGGGAAAACCAAACCCATATTAACCAAATTTCTTCATCCTTCTGCTTACTTAACTTTCTAAACAATTAGCAACTAGCAAATGGATGAACTGATTTGAGCCCCACTCCTCCCTGGCCCAGGAAGAGATGCTTCCACAGAAATATCCTTTGAGAACACTGACAATGGATATAATGGGTTTGTAGATGGCCTGAGACAGGGAGCAAAAGCAAAGACACACAGTCACTGTTCCTCAAGTTATTAAGCCACTTGCTGTAATTCAAATTTTCCAAGTTCATTATAGTTCCTTACCTAGAATCTTTCAGAGTGCCTTAGAAAAAATTTACACCCCCAGGAGGCTTTAAGTGGTTCTCATTAACAATTGTTTGGATTGGCTGCCCAGCTCTTTCTAAGCAGGCCCTCATCCCACATTCCACACCACCAGTGCCAGGGAAGAACAGAAAAATAGTTCTGGGGCATGAGACGCAGGCAACCAGAAGAAACTGTGAGAAGCTCAAAGCTGTGTACTAAATTTCCATTTTACTTTACTGAGATTTTACACTTTTTCCCTGAAAGGGGTGACTATGCTAACCCCTGAAGTGACAAGGGTAGTGATAGTGTTTGGAGTGTAGTGGAAATGGGACTAGGCTAGGAGCTGAGGCATCGGGGTTCCTGTTTTAGTTCTGCCACTACCAAGTTCTGAGATCATGGCCAAGTCACACTACCTCCTCTTAGGCCTCAGTTTCCTCATCAGTAAAATGCACAGATCAGGCTAGAAAAGCTCTAAAAAACTTTCCAGCTATAATGATCCTAAGGGGGGGGGGAGGAATTAAAAGAGTTTATTTTAGCTGTGTCTCTTTTCATCTAAGAAAATAAGGAAGCATGGCATTATATCAATAAGCACTGTCAAATTTTTTTTTTTTTTAAATATATCTTCATTGACCTCAGAGAGAGGAAGGGAGAGGGAGAGAGAGAGATAGAAACACCAATGATGAGAGAGTCATTGATCGGCTGCAGCCCAAAACACGGGCATGTGCCCTGACCGGGAATCGAACCCTGATTGCCTGGATCCTAGGTCGACGCTCAACCGCTGAGCCACGCCTGGCCGGGCTGTCAAATTTTTTTAAAGAGCCCTAGATGTATTATCTGACTTGAAAGCTAATACGATGGATTGCTATGGAACCCTTACTGACCACCTTTCTCTGGGTCCTTCCACTCCACAGCTGTCATATCTGCTAAAGGATAGAGTTTCATTCAGGTCAAGGCCTTCTGAAAACACTGGTGAAAGTGAGTCAGCTGGTTACTCCTTAATCATATGCTCTACACTATCTACAAAGACCTGCTGCATAGTCCTTTGCATGAAATGGTTTTTGCAATAGTGGAGATAAGTGATAATATACAGCAGGTCCACGAATAACATTGTTTAGCTCAAGTTTGGTTCTAATGTTGATGGAGGTGCTATAGGAACTCAACTCTTGTTTATATCAATTAGCCTCTGGTAAAACTGGCTTGCCTTTACCTTTGGCTTCAAGTTGCAAAACCTAGCACAACGTTAAGTGAGGATTTAGTATTTAGCACCTGTATTATTCTACTCAGCTACAACAACGGCCACTTGTTGGCTTGCAACAGGAGCAAAGAATCCAAGTGATTAAAAAAAAAAAAAAAAAGTTAACACATGCCGGGAGAAGTTGAAATTACAACGTTAGTGGGAACATTAGCCCCCAAACTAAACTGGCCTGAGAGTGGCAGTGGGAGGGGCTGTGGGAGACGGACTGGAAAGAAGCAGGTCACTACACTCCAGCTGCTCCTTCTCGGATGCCTAGGACACCTCCTCCAATTACAGAGGCCTCTTCTGAAGGAAAGGGGCTTCAGGGACCAAGTCTGCTCGTCAACAGCGAAAACGAGGCCCAACAAGAAAGTAACTTGTCCAGGGCCACTGGGCGGGCCCTGCCTCCGCTTCCTAGCAAACGGCGTCACATCAGGACCGGGATTAGGGAACAACCAGGACCTCCGCCCGCAGGACGGGGCGGGATGCCGTGACGTCAGGCCCCTCAGTCCCGTCAGGGGGACCCTTCTGCCCAAGGAGTCTCCCACGGGCCACAAGCACCGAAGCTCTGCCTCGCCCGGGAGAAAACCGTCCCTCAACCCTCCACGGCCGCGGAAAGAGCCCCAGGGGCTCCATGACGCCACTCCCACTTACTGTCTCCCTAGAAAGATGGAAGGAAGTGAAAACCGAAAGGGGCGGCACCTTTACCACTCATGGCCCTTTCTCAGGACTGGAAGTCTGATTTTAGGGAACCCGAGGGCCCAACTGCCACTAATTGTCGCCCTCACTCCAGGGGACTCACCAGGAGCAGCAGCCGGCGGCGGCGCAACAGAGGAAGGACTGGCAAGGGACAGGGGCGGGGCCAAAAACCCGAGGGAGGGCTGATGCGGGCCGACCCCCCCCGCAGTCACATGTTTCAGCCAGCCCCGCCCCCACCGCGGTGCTTGCTGGGACTTGTAGTGTTCAGGTGACTGGGTTCCAGATTTCTCAGCGATCTCACCCCAAGGAGCCCATTTCTTCCTCTAAAGCAAGCCACTTACTTACCTTAAAAAGTAAATAAATCAAACTTTATTTTTTTTTCAGTTTTGAATGAGAAAGCTCCATACTTCTGAAGGGCCATTGAGAGGGCATCTTCATTTTTCTCCTGCCCCCATAAGACACTTCACTAAGAGTCTTTTTTTTTTTTTTAATCCCCACCCAAGGATATTTTTTCCATTGCTTTTCAGAGAGAGTGGAAGGGGGAGAGAGAGAAACATCCATGTGAGAGAGACACATCAATTGGTTGCCTCCCACACGTGCCTCAACCAGGGTCCGGGGATGGAGCTTGCAACCGGGGTACGTGCCCTGGGCAGGAATCGAACCCAAGACCCTTCAGTCCGTGGGCTGATGCTCTAACCACTGAGCAAAACCAGATAGGGCTCCTTTCTTTTTTTTTTTTAAATCCTCACCCAAAGACATGCTTAGAGAGCGGAAGGGAGAGAGAGAGGGGGAGAGAGAGAGAGAGAAAGAGAAACTTCTGTTGCCTCCTGTAAGTGCCCTGACTGGGGATGGAACTTGAAACACAGGTATGTGCCCTGACCAGGAATCAAACTGGCGACCCTTTGGTGTACAGGATGATACTCAACCAACTGAACCATTCAGGCTGGTCATCATTTCCTTTCTATAAAGAAATTACTCTTTAGCATTAATTCTTTCCAGGTAGTACTCTTCTCAACTGTGGTAAGAATAAACTCAGCAAGAATCCTGCTAAGTCACCTTAGAGAGAATCCCTCATCCTTGATATCTGAACAATCCCTGACCTACCTTCAGCAAGAATCGTAAACTGGTTCAGCAAGAATCCCCCCTACCTGTAGTGTCTCCTTTTAGTAATTTTCTTTCTTTTTAAAGAAATTTTAATTTTTAAAGAATTTATTGATTTGAGAGAGAGAAAGGGAGAGAGAAACATCCATTTGTGGTTCCACTTATTTATGCACTCATTGGTTGATTCTGGTATGTACCCTGACCAGGGATCAAACCTGCAACCTTGGTGTATCAGGACTATCAGGATGTTGCTCTAACCAACTGAGCTACCTGGCCAACGCTCCTTTTAGTAATTTTTCACCCACTTGTCCTTATTGTATTTGAAATTGAGCACAATATATCCCCCCTGTTGTAATGTTCCTATTGCAATAATCCTGGATAAAGTCTTTCTTACCATTTTAACAAGTGTCAGAATAGTTATTTCTTTAACACTGCACATGCTGTCTATGAAAGGTTAAATTCAGAAGTGCCCCTCATCCAAGGAGTAGCATTTGTCTAAATCTGGAAACTTTCTGTCATCGAACCAGAGAACTTATGTCCCTGAGGCCACTGTAGGTTTCAGTCAGGAGACTAAGCATTCCTAATTCTGCCTTCTCATTAGACTGGTGGCATTCAACTGAGGTGACTGGATGGTGAGAAATGACTAAACCAGGGAGTGGGGCTTCTGTTGAAAATTCAAATCACCTTTTGAGTTACCAAAATAACACTCTTCTATTTTAAATTCTGCCTACAGGGATAAGCGCTGTCAGTATCCTGGATACATTTTGTTTCATTTTACTTACTACCTTTTTAAAAATCACCGAGAACTGATACCTCCTACACCCACACAGCTTACTGTCTACATTAACATGACAACTATTTCATGACACTCTTGTCTGAAAGTTAAAAATGCAGATAAATTTATTGTTTATTTTAGAAACTTTCTAAAAGAACCATCAACTTTTCAATAGAAAGCATCACATGACAGTTCTGTACATTCCAAGACTTAGAACACCTGGACTCAAAATCCTTGCTTTGCAGTGTCCACCAATTCTAAATTATTATATCATAACCTTACCCAATTCTAACCAACTCCCGTCCTGCCCATTTCCCAAGCTAAACTTCAAAGTCTCGTCAATACCATGACTTTGTCCTGCTGCCCCTGAGCCACTACTACAGCTCTGCCAAGGTAGTGTTCTTCTTTCCCATGGTAAGAAGAGACTCAGTTTTGTCTTATCAACAGATTGTTTTGTTGATATTTTGGGGTGCTAAATTTGGCAGCATAGAATAAAAAAAGCGAATTAGTTTGATTTATTTCCAATAGAAATGTCAAAGGAAGGCTGCAAGTACAACCAACCCTTTTATAACTGGATATTGAAGGAATGGGACTTGATATTCAGACCTAGCGAGAAAATTTCCCATGCCTATCTTCAATTGCTAGGTATGGAGGCAAACAAAGACTGGGGTGGGGGTAGTTACTCTGTGCCTGATACCATGGATGATCTCATTTAATCTTTATAAGGGAAGCACTTTTATTATCCCCATTTGACAGATGAGAAAATTGAGGCTTGGAGACATAAAGTTACTTGTTCAAGCTCACACAGCTAGTAAGTGCCACCAGAAGGCTTTGGATCCAGTATTCAGACTCAAGTGACTGTACTTTTTTTTTTTTTTTTTACATTCACATAACTTTTATTACAATACAATTGTTTAAACTTGATCACAGGTATGTAAGTAAAGGAAAACAGTGTACAGAGGGTTCAGTACTATCCAGTTTCAGGCATCTGCTGGGGGTCATGGAACCTACCCTCTGCAGGTAAGGGGGGGGGACTACAGTATACTGACAACTATGCCAATGAGTTTATGTATTCAAAAAGTTATTAAAATCACCCAAATACTAGTGGTACCTTTCAAAGTAATTCTGACATGTTTAATATTTAACTTTTCTATATATTAATCACTGGAGTTGTAGTACATCATGCTTAAAAACAACTATTTACAAAATTTACCTTTGCTAGCAATAGCCTCCAAATTTGCAGGTCCACCCCAAAGTGTTCCTACAAGATCTCTTTCTGTCTGTAATGCCTCCTGGAAACAAAGCTCTTTGCCTGAAGAAACTGATTTTTTCAAAGCTCTAATTACTTCCAGTGGCCCTTCAGTAAACTGTTTTAGCCACTCTTGTGCCTCTTTGAGACATTCAGTTTCATCTGAAGACTTCAAGACCTCATGGACCATTCCTAGGTTTAAAGCTAGTTCTGAATCCAGTTTGAGGGCCCCACTTAACACTTTGAGAGCTTGTCTACTGCCAATAATTCCAGCCAGCCGGGGAGCACCGCCCCAGCTTGGCACTAAACCCATCTTCTTGTGAACAGATCTGATCTCACTTTCTCTAGTCATTAATCTGAAATCACATGCTGTAATAAATTCTGCTCCTCCACCCAATGCCCAGCCTTGAAGCAGAGCAACACTTATTAAAGGAAGTCTCATCAATCTTGTTAAGGTGTTTTGCATGAATATACATAAGGCCACCCCATCCTCTGGAGTTCCTAGGGCTTCTACAGCATTCAGATCAGATTCTGAGGAGAATGTATTTTTTGCCCCACGAACAATGAGACCTTTCCCCTCTGTCCAATTTTCCAATTCAATCCCTTTTTCCAAAAGTCGTAGCATCATAACACCTGAGAAGGCACTCCTTTTCCTTGGACTGTTCAGAGTAAGAACGCCAATGCCGTTGTCTTCCTCCTGAAGGTCAACAGATCCACCAGGAAACTGCTGAAGTTTTGTTTTTTTTTTCTTCTTCTTCCTCATGGAAGCCATGAGATGTATTCGATGTAGCAATTTTGTCCTTACAGACATAGACGATGTCTTCAAAAGACTTGCTGCCAGTTCCTGTTTGGACCCCAGTCCTCTTTGCAAGCTGGTTTCCTTAGTGGAATGATCACTGCCTGGGCTCCACCTGAGGGTTACACACTCATTTTTTTCTTGATTCTTTGTCCTTTAAAAACTTTGAGCCTTCCGCCCACTCTGCAATTCTCGGAAGCGAGGCTTTCTTTTCATGACCGGCTGGCAAAATCCGGCGGCGGCGCGGGCACTGCGTCCCCCAGGCCAGCGCGGGGGCTCAGCACGCACCGGGCGGCGCGGGCAAGTCCGCCACTTCCCTCCCGCTCCCCTGCAGCACTCACTGGCTGTACTTTTTTTTTTTTTTAAATATATCTTTATTGATTTCAGAGAGAGGGAGAGGGAGGGAGAGAGAGAGAGAAACATCAACGATGAGGGAGTCATTGATCCGCTGCCTAGCCCGCAACCCGGGCGTGTGCCCTGACCGGGAATCGAACCCGGATCGGCTGGATCCTAGGTCGATGCTCAACTGCTGAGCCACGCCCAGCCGGGCTGTGCTCTTAATCACTGCACTCACTGTACTTTTCATGAAAGTTCAGTAATCCATAAGGAAAGACAAACATGTAAATAGTATAATGTCGCATGACATTGGCTTTAGGAAAGGAATACACAGTGCTGAGATAGCACAGAATTAATTTTTCCGAGGGATAAGAAGGGCCCTGGCCAGGTGGTTCAATTGGTTGGGGTGTCATCTTGTGCACCAAAAGGTTACAGGTGGGAGGCAATGGATCAGTGTCTCTCTCACCTCTCTCTCTCCCTCTCTCTCTCTGTCTTCTCTCCAAAACCAGTAAGCAGATCTTCAGGTGAGGATTTAAAAAAAACAGGAAAGAAGGCTTCATAAAAGAGATGTTACAGAAAAAATTATTCTGAGCCTGTTAAAATGGAAAGAAAAACTTTACTCAAGGCTATTGCAATAGGATAATTATAATAGGGAAGAGAGATTGTGCTCAACTCCAGGCACAGTAAGGGCAAGTTGGGATTTACAGCCATCAAGCCAAGTGAGAGGGTTATTAGATAAAAAAAAATTACTAAGAGGATATGGGAGATTCTTGCTAAACTGACTTAATAGGATTCTTGCTGAAGGCAGGCTAAGGATTGATCAGATATCAAAGATGGAGGATTCTCTCTAAACTAACTTAGGATTTTTAGTAAAATTGGACTTGGCAAAGACACAGAAGCCCAAGGGGAGGCCTAGATGAGAAAAAGGCTCAGAGGAGTCTAACTATAGTTTGGTCAAAGAGAGTGTCATTGTCAGAGGTGACATTTGATTTATCTGAATAACAAGCTTGGCAAGCAGAAAAAAGGATGGGAGAGAAATCTGAGATGGAGGAAGGGAGTGCTCATTTATAGCAGAGCTGGCAGGTGGAATTCTCTGCAATGATGGGCATGTCCAATACCTGTACTAGCTGGTCCAATAACCACTAACACATGTGGAAGTGTGGCTATTGCAACTGGGAACTGGATGTTTATGTAATTTAAATTTAAATAGCCATATGTGATCGCTGTCCTGGCTAGTGCAGATCTACAGCATCTGAGTAACAGGGGTGTGGACTCTGGGGGAATCGGGAGGCAGCCTAGAAGGTGCCCAAGCAGCAGCTGCTACTTTCACCTTTGCTCTGAGCTCCAGTGCTGCCCAGTCCTGCCCAGTAGTAATGACTCTGGCCCTTTGGACTCTCAGCTGCACTGAAAAAGATGAGAGGAATTTTATCCCTGAAACTTGCTGTCTCTGTAACCACCAGACCCTGCAATTTTATGATTTTCAAAGTCCAGAGAGTTTCTATGCCCAGGTTGGAGGAAGATTGAACAATCAATGGGAAGAAGACTACTAATTAGCTTGCGATACCATTGGGCTTTTAACTGTAGTCAGGGCAAGTATGGTTTTTGTAAACTTCAGGAGAAACAGGAGCCAGGTGTGTGTCACACTAATCACATTCCTAAAATGTGCTGGCAAACCAAATCACCTATGAAACACTCTAGGGAACCTTAATATTTAAAGACGCTTTGCAGTGGTCCCTTTAAACATTTGGGAGGGATATCTTTGTTTTAAAATATTACATTAAATAGCCCAGCCAGTTGAGCATCGACCTATAATCCAGGAGATCGCAGTTCGATTCCCGGTCAGGGCACATGCCTGGGTTGCGGGCTCCATCCCCAGTAGGGGGTGTGCAGGAGGCAGCCGATCAGTGACTCTCATCATTGATATTTCTCTCTCTCTCCCTGTCCCTTTCTCTCTCTGGAATCTCTGATACATTAAAAAAAAATTCCATTAAATAAACAAACCCAAAAAGTTCCATAATCCTACCCATGTTTTCAAGACTGTGGCTTGTAGAGAAAAATTTGTCTGTTGAACACCCTTCCTTGAATTAGCTGACTCAGTGGGAATTATTTTACAACTTTGTAAATTTTACATAATTGGTAGACAAGCAACTTTTGGCTGGTCTGAAACAGGTTTGATTGCTTTCCCTCTTTTTCTTGTGGAAGAAACCAGTTTTGCCTCCATTTGCAATTCCTTTCAACATTCCTTTTCTCAGACAAATTGTGCTGATTTTTTTGAAGTAGCTGAATCTTCTGACTAGTTCCCTCATTGAATGAGTTAAATAAAATCTTTTATACAAGTTCATTGTTATATCTGTATGAGAGTCATAGTTTTATCTTTTTTTGAAGATTCTCTTAACATTTCTTTCTGGTTTTTTTATGCATACAAATATATGTTTGACATAATTATAGTGATGGGCTTTATAAAATATTTCTTCACTTACTACTCAGGTAAAAAACTTTAATATTGCCATAAAATTTCATAATTATTGGTTTCTTTTTTGTTACAATAAATTATTCTACCATAATTTATTTCACCATTCTCTAACCATTGATTAAGATATTCATTAAATAATTTTTAAAAAGGAAAGATTCTGCATGTATTTAACTGCTTTCCAAGTCTGAATTTCACTCTATATTACTATTTTTACCATATAAAATGATACCAATGTCTAAGTAAGAGGACTCTATACTACACACCCATTTCACACAGATAAAAATTTATCCACCAGCCCAGCCTGTGTGACTCAGTAGTTGAGCACTGACCTATGATTCAAAAGATCCGGTTTCATTCCCGGTCAGGGCACATTCCCCGGGTTGCCCGGTAGATGAAAAAGGGCAAGATAAAAACAGAAGCCAGGAAGGTCCATTGCTCGCGGCCAAGCAGTTCCATCCCCAGGGGCTCTCTCAGACCCATCAGACACACATCAAAATAGAGAATCAAAAGAAGTGCCGGCAGCAATCTCTGTTTCTATTTCCCCAATAACAGTAATAAGGGTGTGTCAAGGAAGGAGTGGTAGGCTCTGTGAATCCACTGCAAGGCCTTAGCCAAGCCACCATATTTTTCTGAGCTTCACTTTCCTTATCTGAAAATAAGAGAAATACAGGGGTCTCTAAGATCTCTTCTGATTTAACAGGACTCCCGATTCTGATTATACACACTTCTACAACATTCTCTCATGCATTGCAGACTTAAAGCCAAAAAATAAAAGTAAATAATAATCGTCTAAGCATCTTTGCCTCTCTTCCACTCCCTACCACATCCCTGGTACATATATACCAAGACCTTCTTGTGACTGGCACAGGAAGGAAGGACACACCAGGAGGGACCTTGCTTCAGGCGAGCAGAAGCAGGGCTCTCTTTTCTCATTAACTTCTTGAAGAATCCCAAACTGAGAAACAGTCTGTGTGTCAACTGCAGAGCAAACAACCTTCTGAGGATTTCATTATTGTCTTACTGTTTATTTATTTAGTCAGGTGGGTGCCTAAGGAACAAAAAAGACAGTGAAAACAACTTTCAGGCCTTTTTTTCTCTCTACACACTCTTGCCTCTGAGTTCGTGCTCAGAGGAGGGGACACAGTCCAATTTTTTTGACGACTGGGAGGACCCTCCAACACACTACTTCAACCTTTCACATCTGGGTTTGAAAAAACTCTGCGATTACCATGCTTCTAGTTTGCCCGGCTCTGGAGGGGATGCCTGATGGGGGTTCAAGCCTGCTTTGCTCTACAGCGGAGGCAGCTCTACTGTTCACTCTGTTTGTTCCTGTCATCGCCCCTGAGAGAACAGCGGTGCCAGGCTCTGGCCTATTAGCTCCCACTGCAGCCAGTCCTCTCATAAATAACTGGTTGTCAGGGATTTTAATGGAAGCCCTCTGGAAACCATAAATCTATGCAGTTCCCTCCTGCATCCTCCCTCATTTCCATCACAATATCACTCCAGAGGGACCAGAGACCAAAGCAAGAGCTTGGCAGAGCAGATTGGTAGGACGCTAGGGAAAGAGGAAGGTGGGGTGGGGGAGGGGAACAGAGCTGGGACAGTTGGTCTTAGGGAAGCATCTGCTGGGTGGCCTAGGGCCACCTGGAAGAAAGAGGGAAGAGGAAAGAGGATGTAATAGCAGAGGTTTCTGGAAGAGCAGCAGATGGGCCACTGATTCCACCTCCCACCCCCCAGGATGAATCTAAGCACCACGTAGCCGGCTTTCAGTGTCTGCTTGGGACTAAGCTGAGCCTTTACCTCTAGCCTCCTGCGTGGGCAGATTAGCAGGTAAAGGGGCAGTGTCCTGCGTCAGGAGGAAAATTTTTCCTCTACCAGCTTAGGTCCAAAAAAATAACTTTTATTCATATGCATATGAGAGCACTTAGTAATCCCCCACGTAGCTAGGGATAAAGGTTTATACATCAGCTTAATAAGGTGGGGGTGGGGCAGAGCTTCAAAGGATGGAAGGCTCTAATGAGACTTGTTTACACAGTGTTTTTTTAATGTGTGTGTTGAGCTTCCCAGAGTAGAGATCTCTCTGGAGGTGGGAGATTGGGGCTGTTACTCTACTAAAGTTCTGCTTTATTCAAGTAAGATTTCTTTCTGCATCCACTGTAGCTCAAATGTTTTCACTTCAAAGTGAAAACCATCCTGGGGTTTTTTTAGTCCCTTCACGTGCCACTTCTCCAGTGTCTTATTGCTGCACAGCCTGATATCCTGAGCACACTCACGGGACAGTGTTCCCAATGAATGAGGTAACGTTCCTGGACCAGCTCCATCAGCGATGTGGATCTTGCCTCTTCCATGAGTCCTTTTGACTAGAAGTTTTCTGAGAAGGGCCTGTTTCTCCTCCTTGGGTGTCTCTCCTCAACTTCCAGAAAAGATTTCTACCCTCAGAAGAGAGTAATGATCCACAGTTTTACATAAGTAAGTCTTACTCCTTGGGACTAAGTAACCCTTTTTCACAGGAGTAGCTACATTTCAGTGGCATCTGGAAAATTCTCAAGAACAAAGAGGGATGGATATAGGCAACAAAAATGCTTGGCTCAGTCCTTAAGGATGTTTCTAAAATCACTATGATTCAGGAACTTAAAGTCGATTTTTTGTTTGATCTTTCACCAATCCTGAATTAACCCAGGCAGAAATAGCTCTACTGGCTGTCAATCCTTTGCAGGTAGGAGTCTGGGCTTAGACAGGTATGGACAAAAAAGGAGCCATGTACTAACCTGACAAGCTCAGGGGAGGCCTGCTTGGCGGCCTTACAAACTCAGAGACGAAAAGTAACCAGGTAGGATGGTCTGAAATTAGAATGTTCTATTAAAAGTGAGTCATGGTGGGTAGTCATGTCCTAGGCTGGTATCTTCCCTGACAAAGGTGAGTCTGTACCTTAACTGAGCCTGTCTATCATCTTTTTGCATCTAGGGTAATACAACTTTGGAATGTCAGGGTAATTTCCTTTTTCCAGACCCTTCAGGGCACAAACACTGCACCAGAGCAGAGACCACAAAACCCTTCGCTGCTATTGTTATCGTGTGGTGAACTGTTAATTATCCTATACCCGCCTATGGAAAAGAAGTGTCTATTCATTTTACTTTTTATCCAATCCCCGAGATTTCTCCACTTTGCTTTCTCTGTTGTCCCTAATCTATCACCAACGGATTTCTTGTAACCCCCTTACGGTCTTCCCCTTTGAGTCTGATGTATAAAGTAAGTGGTATAACTGCCGTTTTCCAGTGCATTGTCTCAATCCGTTGAGATTTCATTTCCCCATAATTGTTGTCAGTTTGGCTCAAATAAACTCATAGAGAACTACACAGGTAGAAAGGGAGGGAAACCACCATTTTTTGAATCCAGTCACTACTCTGATTCTCCCCTTGTCTGAGGGCAGTCAGCATATTGCTGTGGGAAGACAAGACCCCCAGCCTTGGGCAGCCCTCTCTTATTGGCCGGTTCAGCGGAGGCGCCACCATCTCCCACACTCTCCGGAGTTGTCATGATTAGAAAAAGCTGAGCGGTTCATTATAGCTTTGGATGCCCATTTTACAGTTCAAGAAGCTAAGCCTCAGAGAGGTCACGTCAACTGCCCGAGATTACACAGGTTATAATCATGTCTGAGATCTTGACTTAGGTCCCACCCAATGCTCTCCGTACAGCGCCGCCTGCTCCCCGGAGGCATAAGTACAACGTGCCGCTAGATGAGCGCAGCCCCGCGGAGCTGGAGCTCGGGAGCCGGGCGGTTCGGATCTGCGCGTGCGCCCTGCGCCCCGACGGGGCGGTCCT